TTAATTCAATTAACACTTTGAAGCTTAAATAATACATGTAAATTACGGAACTATTTCCGTTTCTAACGGGTGATTTTTTAAGAGCTTGATAACTTTTTTTTTAAAAAAAAACGCATAAAATTTGCAAAATCTCATCGGTTCTTTATTTGAAACGTTAGATTGGTCCATGACATTTACTTTTTGAAGATAATTTCATTTAAATGTTGACCGCGGCTGCGTCTTAGGTGGTCCATTCGGAAAGTCCAATTTTGGGCAACTTTTTCGAGCATTTCGGCCGGAATAGCCCGAATTTCTTCGGAAATGTTGTCTTCCAAAGCTGGAATAGTTGCTGGCTTATTTCTGTAGACTTTAGACTTGACGTAGCCCCACAAAAAATAGTCTAAAGGCGTCAAATCGCATGATCTTGGTGGCCAACTTACCGGTCCATTTCTTGAGATGAATTGTTCTCCGAAGTTTTCCCTCAAAATGGCCATAGAATCGCGAGCTGTGTGGCATGTAGCGCCATCTTGTTGAAACCACATGTCAACCAAGTTCAGTTCTTCCATTTTTGGCAACAAAAAGTTTGTTAGCATCGAACGATAGCGATCGCCATTCACCGTAACGTTGCGTCCAACAGCATCTTTGAAAAAATACGGTCCAATGATTCCACCAGCGTACAAACCACACCAAACAGTGCATTTTTCGGGATGCATGGGCAGTTCTTGAACGGCTTCTGGTTGCTCTTCACTCCAAATGCGGCAATTTTGCTTATTTACGAAGCCATTCAACCAGAAATGAGCCTCATCGCTGAACAAAATTTGTCGATAAAAAAGCGGATTTTCTGCCAACTTTTCTAGGGCCCATTCACTGAAAATTCGACGTTGTGGCAGATCGTTCGGCTTCAGTTCTTGCACGAGCTGTATTTTATACGGTTTTACACCAAGATAACACAAACCCAATTGCTGCGAACGGCGACGAATCGACATTTCACGGTCTTCAGCAACACTCTCAGAAACAGACGCAATATTCTCTTCTGTACGCACTGTACGCATTCGTGTGGTTGGTTTAATGTCCAATAAAGTAAACTGAGTGCGAAACTTGGTCACAATCGCATTAATTGTTTGCTCACTTGGTCGATTATGTAGACCATAAATCGGACGTAAAGCGCGAAACACATTTCGAACCGAACACTGATTTTGGTAATAAAATTCAATGATTTGCAAGCGTTGCTCGTTAGTAAGTCTATTCATGATGAAATTTCAAAGCTCAGTATATCCAGTAAAAAAACTGTGGTGAAGTCCTTTATGGGGATAAAGTTTCCAGAGGTGAAATTTTAGGTAGCACACAATTTCTTACACGCATGGTTGCTTTTCAGCACTCATGAAAGAAACTTAAGAAATATTTGAAAAAAAAGTTCATATAGTACATTAATTTTGAAAGAAATACCATATAATGTATGTACTCTGGTTAATAATATCAAAAAATGTATTAGAACCACCGTTTAATGTTATATTTGATTCAAATTAATATTGCTGCCCCGAACGCTCTGCGCCTTGCCACTGAATAATAGGTTTACTTAAAATTACATCCGTGGTCCTTGTTCTTTCTGTATCGCATCGTGGTGAATTCACATTTCTCAGAAATTTGACAACAAAACAAAACAAAGCGAGTATTTTATTTGCTAATTTTTGCGATTTCTATTGTTTAATGTAAATTTGTCTTTTTAGGATATGTCGAGCCAACGAAGAAGGCGCAGTTGGAAAATTGAGTAATTAGTAATGAAGTAGCAGGCATATTTGGAAAATTATGCCGATAAGCAGGATGGAATTTGGGAAAGTAAGTGCATGGTTGCAGCATATCTATGTATAAAAAGTATTTAATTAAATTGTTTATAGAAATGTTATAAATCGAGTGGCTCATTTACGATGTGCTCCAAACATTTGGCGAACTTTTTTTCGCCTTTTCAGCGTGCTAAGTAACAAGTTAAGATGACTGCCATCACGGCCGGTAAGAAACCGCAAGCAAAGGGCAGACAACCTTCCAGGAACCTGCCTCCTGTCCCCGAGCCGAAGCTGCAGTTCTGCAAGAGCAGGTCAGCAAATTGCTACCCTGATCAAACGTAAACTAAAGCGCACTGCTGTGATTGCACTCCGTAAATGTGAAAACTTGGTGCATGCTGAGAAATATCAAACAAGAAAACTCTGTGATGGACGCCGTGAGATGGAGTAGCGCTGTGTGGCAAAGAAATACGGCCAATTCGACGGGCCTGAAAAATCCAAATTGGCTTTTGTGATCCGCATCCGCGGTATCAACAAAGTTGCACAAAAAGTGCGTAGTTTTACAGTTCTGTCTTCGCCACATTAAAACGGTGTGTTCATCAAATTGAGCAAGGCAACCATTAATATGCTACGTATGCCGAACCCCCTATATGGGGTTATCGAAATCTTAAATCAGTTTGTGAATTGATGTACAAACGTTGAATGGTCAAGCGTGTCCCAATCTCTGCTTTGTGATCGAACGCAAATTTCGCGAAGCGCACGAAATTCAGTGCGTTGATTCACTTCACTTCAAGAAAGCCCCCAACTTCCTGTTGCTATTCAAGCTCAACACATCAACCCGAGGCTGGCGCAAGAAGGCTAATCACTACGTTGAGGTTGGTGATTTCGGTAGCCGTGAGGATAAGATCAACAAATTGCTGCACAAGATGGCTTAAAGAAATTGTTGTTTTGTATTTAAGTAGACAATATAATTTGGCACATCTTCAAAAGACGCCCAAGCAAAAAAAAAAAAGAAAATTAAAAAATTCCTGAAGTTGTCTTTTCACGGGTCGATTTCTGTCGACTGGAAAATTTACTTAAGATATCGACTAGCCAAAACGCTTATATTTTACGGTTGAATTGCAATTTACACGGGTAGATTTTGGTTAAACGACAAAAATCGACCGTGTAAAGGCAGCTTAAATAACGTTCAAATTAATCACCCCCTTTGAGATTGAAAATACCAATAACCATTTCATAATTTCGAAAATTATTCCATTTATATTTGTTCTTGCATTTTCCACACCACTTGTGAGGTATGCTTTTACGCGCGTTACCGATTTTTTGTTTAATGTGCTCGGTTGCCCAGGAGGCCTATTTTCACCTTTACAACTTAACTTAAACAGAATTAAAACTAAAACATGCAATATATAAAGAAAATTAAAAGTTGTCTTACATCTAGTAAACTTAAAAAATTGCACATTAAATTCATTTTTCATTATAAAATAAAATTAAATATCACAATTCAGTTTACAAAATGTGGTCTGTTTGCACCCGCAGTAAGTTCCCATGAAGCCTAGCCTAAATTCAGAATTGAAAAAAAAAAACGAGCAAATGGGGTCGGAAACTACTAGCCCTAAAAGCATAATGTGGAAAATGTTTGAAGAGCTGCGAAATTGTATTGCAATAATAAAAATAACAGTGCATAAATTGGAAAAAATGGTTTTTGTTTTGCTTTATAATTTTTGGGAATATTGGTTCAGATGGAATTTTTTTATTTGTTTGGTTTTTCAGCTCGTTAATGAAGCACCCAGGGTTGCACTTACTGTCTATGAAAATGTTTCGTGAAGCGTTCCAAAATTAGCTCCGAGCAACTAAAAGTTGGTTAAGCTTAAATGAAATAGTTTTTTATTAAATATTTATTCCTGGTATTTAGTAAAAAACATCAATACTAATGTATGAAAAACAAAACATCAATGCTAATGTATGAAATGAAGTAAATAAAAATCTACGAATACATTCCATCAATATTTTGTCATAGAGCCATTATTAAATTTAGACATAACTTTGTCAGGCGTTGGTACCTACGTATATAGAATTAATGCGTTGGAGAGAGATAAATATACAAGTTCAACGCGCTAATTTAGGTACCCTTGTATGTATATACCTGTTACTCGTCTGGCATATACTCCAACTGCGAAAATAATGACAATTATAATTTATGTAGATCCCTGGATAAAAGATTGTCACAAGTTACTTTCGGTAACTCACGATTGAAGTTTGGAATGCAATTTCTCAGAAACACGACTACAGATTTTCTCCAAAGTGTCGGAGAATGCTATGTACTAGTTCATGAAATTCTTAAATTATCTTATTTTTTTAGTTTAGTGTCAACCATTTATGAGTTTAATAAAATTTTGTCGTATACGACATTTGTCAAAAAATTTGCAGTCAGTTTTAGTGATATACACCAAAATGTGATAACAATTTTTATAAATTAACCATACTTTTTACTAATCAGCCTAATCGTGAGTTTCGCCCGAACAAAATTTCGCCAACAATTTTTTCATCCACCTGTAGTGAACACACGCAAACGAAAAGTGACCCGGTTCTAGAAAATGAAACTCATGATAAAGCTGAATATGTCGGAAACTAAAGAAGAACAGATAACTCTATTTGAAAGATCTTGATTAGTTTAGTACGACAGCAACGCAATTTGTACCAAATAACCGAAAAAATTTTAGTCAATTAGTCGGAAACTAAAGAAGATATCCAAAAACCACAAATTGTCAAAATGACGCTTCCGGCAATTTTCCATCGAGGGGACGATATTTGAATAGCTTTGTATAGTTACCAATAGTCAGTACTAATTTGTACTGGAACCTGCAAACTTTTACTGGAAAAGTGTATGATAACCCAAAAATTTGCAAGAGAGCACTGAATCGAGAGCGTAACAACACGAGAGAGCTGCAAATTCTTGCTAGTGAAATTTTTACTAGCAGAAATTAGCTAGCAGAAGAAGAAGAAGAATAAATGTCAAAAGAATATATAAAAAGTGGTGTTACTAGCTCAATTGATTTTGTGTATGTGTTTCTCCGCACGGCGTCTGATATCAAATTGAAAAATTTTGTTTGAATTTCTACTCACACTTACAGGTT